GGCTCGATCCCATGACCCTGGGATCACGACCTGAGCCAAAATCACCAGCTGGACACTCAACTGACTGAACCACCCAGGCACCCCTGAAAGAAAACATTTAAATAGAGAGCTTGTAGCCATTTTTTTCTATCTTCTCTCTGCTATGGGCTATTCATTCATTCAAAAAAAAAAGATTTGCCTTTATGTAATAATTTTAGGTAAGTCTATACCTAAGAAACATAGAAATTGGGTGCTATATATTAGGCTAGCAGTTTCTAATCTACCATGAGATAATGAAAGAAATATATGCCCTTGACAAGAGATTGATTAGTCCCAAACAAGATGGAAAATTTATTCTTCCCTGAGAACCTTCTCTGATAAGAAGCACAGCCAGTTGAGGTTGGCCTTTTCAGCCAGATAATTATGCCACAACCCTAGTGGAATTGTTAATCAGAGTCAGATTCAGGTAATTCGCCCTGAATCACAAAAGATAATAATGCTCAAGTAGGTGTCTACAAAACAAAATCATATTGTACATACCAGAAGAGAAGAATATCATTATAAATAATAAAACATTCACTGGGTTATGATATGGGTACACACACATGCATATATTTTTGTATTTAGTGTAAGTGTTATGATGTCTCGTAGTAATATGAAATAAAATGTGAAAAAAAAACCCAAACAAAAAACAAACAAACAAAAAATGTTGCCAAGGAACATCCAGAGTTGAAATGGTCTTAATATTAAAAGTGAGTGAGAGAGATTGAAGCAGATAGTGGTGATGTGCAAGTATAGGCTGGCATCCAGTACAGAGACGTACACATATAGACGACATTGGAAGGTTTTGAGTTAGTGCTGTTGAAGTATATAGAGTTCTGACACATTCTGTTCTTCATTTGGACTTTGACCTTTGAAAAGCCATTTATGACCACTTTTCAAATTGTTTTTTATTGCTCTTTATCTGCGTTTTTAGAGCTCCTTTTGATATCTTTAACTGTTTATTGTTTCTTGGGCCATGATGCAGTGGTTATTATTAGGGTAAGTCAAATTAGTCAATAAGGTCCTGGGTCCTAGTGACCTTTTCTTGTTCTTTATAAGCCTTTTGCCATGTTAAGGAACCAGGAACTATTTCTTTTTATGATGGATGTGGGTGACTTAATGTATACGTTGTACTTCAGCTGAACTTTATTGTATAAACATTTTCAAGCAAAGAAACTTTATTTTATGTAGAATATAAGAATATGCATGGGTCAGTAAGGAGAGGTCATTTTGTCCCCTTACCCCTCAACACTCATATTAAACTGGTTTTATTCTTCTGAATTTCTAAGAGGAAGTTTTCTCCCTTATTGTAAAAGCCAGCAGATTTCCCGAGTGTCCTTGAATGATTTATTCATGGCCTACTTGTGTAGTAGCAAAAGAAAAGAATTATACATTACATTTTTTTTTATCTTGTGCAAGAGCAATTTTTAAAAAAATATATTTGGTAAGACTTTTAATAAAATTTTTAATGAGTTGTCTTTCTAACTCATAGTAATTACAAAGAGTACTGTCTTCTCCATTATCATGGCTCAGAGCAGCGTCTTTTTTTTTTGCCCAGCTGGGATATGTGTTGCTTCTATATTACTTTTGGTTTTTAAGTTAAATATTCTTCTTCTGTTTAAAAAAAAGTCTAAGGTGTACCCATACTTGAGATAGTGTTTAAATTATACCTTGATGAATATAATCAATTTATTAATAACATTTTATCCAAAATTAAAACACTAAATATCAACAATGTGCTGAGATAAAGTTAGTCTGTCATTGACCCCCAAATTTTTTCTTCTTTCTCTCTCCTTTTATTTTTGTCTTTCTTTCTTCCTTTCTTCCTTCCTCTCTCCCTTCCTTCCTTCCTTCCTTCCTTCCTTCCTTCCTTCCTTCCTTCCTCCCTTCCTCCCTCCCTTCCTTCCTTCCTTCCTTCCTTCCTTCCTTCCTTCCTTCCATTATTCTTCTTTCCTTTATTATTGCCTTCTTTCCCATCTTTCCAAAGTTCCAGCAATTGAATACATGAAGAATGGATAAATGATCTCATGTAATTACTGGCTTACTATCTTTCCTCCTCTTTTTAGACTGTAAATTCTATGAGGACAGATACCACGCCAATCTTATTTACCTCCATGTATCTAATGCCTTGGATTAGTACATAGTAGGAATTCAGTAAAGTATATGAATGAATAATAAAACGTGTATTATGAATGCTTCTTTTTGAAATCACCCTTGTTGAAAATATGTTTCTTGTTTATTGAAATATTTAGATTATAAAATATGCTAGGGAGAAATTATAATATGAAAAGAAAAATCTTTTAATAAGAATATTTTAAAATTTGCTATTTGTTTAACAGAAGTACAGTGGACAATCAATTTAAAGTGGTTTTTAAAACTAAACTTTTGATTATTTTGGATTAATCTTTTGAACTACATTTGACCATGTGACCTTGATTAGCTCAACTGACTTATGGCCCAACTAAATTAAAATAGTTTGAGGGCATAATATGGAAATACTCATATTTTTACAATAAGTATCAGTTTTAAGGGTTTTAATTGAAACATGATGTGGGCCTGTGTAGATAATAGCATTTTTATTATTTATTTCAAATTGTAACTTGAGAATTTTAAGGATTGAAGAATATTTCCAAGTATAACAGAAAATGATGTGCTCTTGGGTTCAGAAATTATTAGTTAAGCAAAATAAGCCTGACTGATCAGAAACACAAGGACCAGAGTAAATGTATATAACTCCCCCAAACAATGTTAGTATATAGACCGTTCATTTAATTGTTGGATAACAGGTATGTACACATACGTTATGTAGAAGATAGGAAAAAAAGAAAAGAGCTCACTACTAACTACAGTGTGGGCCTTTGTAAGGTACGAAGTAGCCATAAGTCTGAACTTGATATATTATGAACTTAATTTGATCACTTGTTTAGAAAGGCTATTAATACTTGGCTATACAGCAGTATACTTTGGAGAATACGACTCTCCTCGATGTTTCCTCATACCTTTTCAGCTCTATCTAATTGTAATCTCTCTGTTACTCTTTGCTTAGCTTTTGTCTCTTTGTGACTTTGGGATATATTTTCATCTTACATTTTTCTCTAGGCATCCACAAGGACAAAGATAAACCTCCCAGCTTCTCTGTTGTCCTTGAGACTTTGAGGCGTACCTTGACAGATTACCAGAACAAGCTGGAAGACGCGTCTAATGAGGTAACACTGGCACTGTTTGGCTCCACACATATAGCCTTCGGCCTGCAGCAGTGCATTCCCTTGCTTGTTACAAAGGTCAGAAAGATGGGGGATGTTGAATTGACAGCTTCACAGATACAAAAAATAATAAATTGTCCGTCACTGTTCTTTCTTTAAGTGTGGCCTAAAGTGGTGTCTCACTTACGTTTTCGTAACTCTGCAGTCACACTGTGATTTTCAAAGTTGCAAAGACTCTGTCGCTTTCCTGGCCTTCAAAATGTATCTATCTTGACTTAATAAAAAACTGCACGAGTCTTCTGTGTTCATATGTTTCTATTTAAGTGTTAATGTGCTTTTATGAAATTAGGGATAGGTAGTGGAAATTGAGGCTGGGTCAATTATTTTAGGTTAAGATTTCTAGAAATTGAGGAGGTCTTAATGAAAAAAAGAGAGAAGTTCTCATTTTCTAAAGAACGTAAATGTTGTTAGAAGTTTTCAAAAACAAGCATCTGTTTGATGTAGCCTGCTAGTTTTTAATTTGCTGATTAAAAAATCTCGTGCTTCTCTTTATCATCTCATTTGTATTGTTTAATGTGTGGGTTGATAATTTTCTTGGGTATTAAAATATTTTATGAGTTTATGCTTAAAAATTGAAGAGTTTGTTTAGTTGCATCTTGTCGAATTAGAGAGTATGAAATAATTACATTAAACACAATTAGTTAGCAGAACAACAAACAGACTGTTCAAACCAAAGACAAGCCACATAGCATGGAATTTAGTGTTTATCCTTTTGTTTGTTTCTTTCAAGCAATACAAGGCCATTATATCCTTATATTTCACATTTCAAAAGAGGTTTTTTTTGCTTTAGTTTACCAAGGTCAACGAAGGAGGAAAAGTGAGCCTTCTTAATGCCCTCTGTCATTGTTCAGAAGGCAAAAGCGAAAATGACCGCTGGAATAATTAAATTGCCATAAAGAACAAATATTGCCAAGTCGCTCCCAGTGAGACAAGGCAACCTGTATTGTTAGTACTTTCTGAAACTCTTCTGAGGCCCAGGTCTGGAAGCTGCAGGGTAACTAGGAACATATTACCCACAGCGAATTGTTATTTGGGAGGATGAATGTCACATGATCCTCAGCACAGTTGAAAAGTCGACTCAGCAGGCTTTGGCTTAGTAATGTGCTTTGTTGTGAACCAGTGCCAGAGACAGCAGTGGGGAGACCAAGGGGGTGGCTGAAAAGAAAGCAAAAAGAGCAGTCTGACAGAAAGAAGAATGAACTGTCAAAGAAAATAAATCACAAGCGGAGCAGGACCAACTGATGACCTGCCACAAGCCTTCCCAGTAGGACTGCCTGTGACCGACCCTGAAGTTGTCATATGGAGGGAGAGACCAGTGAATACCCTCATGATGTATAGAGAGAACAGTCTTCAGCTCTGTCCTTTTTCTCTTTCCTTATAGATGCCACTGCTTTTGGCATGTTGGTCCAGGAGGATTTTAAGAATAAAGTTGTATTTGTTTACAGTAAGAATAAAATCCTTTATCCAGCCATCGAGTAAATGCACAGTAACATCACTGACATTTTAAGCTTGAATGCTTTTTTTTCTTTTTAGCCATGCGCACTTGTGACAGAAATGACATAGTTAACCAAAAGAAAGAATTTTTTTTAACTGTTAATCACTATTGGAACATTGGTATTTAAGTAATTGCATAAAAAACATTTAAAGATTAGCTTTTTTGAGTTACCCGTCCTTGAAAAATACAAAAAAAGTAACTTCCGTTTTCTTTCATCAGCTAAACAGCATGAATGATGCTAAGGAAAAAGCATCGAATGAACTCAGTTCTACCCAACAGAAGATAGAATCTCACACTAAAAATATTAAGGTATTAGGACTTAGAATGACTTTTTCTTTTTGTATTAAGAGACCCAAATGACTATCGAGGGAATATTTTAAGGTAGAACTATCTGAAAATGTATCTTCCTATTTTTTATTAAGTACATTTGGATACAGTTTTGAATTTTTATTGTTGATCAAAGAAACAAGAATGGTTTTTTCATTAAAAAAATAAAACTTGGTTGGAAATTATTTTGGTTAAAGGAAAAATGCATTTCCCAGATTTAATTATAATACCACAGACTGAAAAAAACGATTTAAGATTTAATGCCCAGCCTCAGATACATATTCAACATATTTTACATAAGCACATCAGTATTTGGAGTCAGTTTTCATCATTGTAGGGTGGAGCCATTGTTTTTAATGCATCAGGCCTAGTAACGGGCTGGGGCCGCACCTGGCTATGGTCCAGGACAACAGTTTATTTTATTCTCTGCACTGGTTTTATGTATTACATCTTTGCAGAATCATACTGAGGCAAGTGTGGGAGTCGGAATGTCTTTGTATTGCTTAATGTTGAGTTTGTCATGGACATACTTCAGTAGAGTTTGTTAATAAGGTTGAAGAAGAAATAATTCAGAATCTTATGTCCCACATACGAGATTTCTGTTAGAATTTGCATGTCATTGGGAAGTAAATGTTCTTATACGGAAGGTAAAAGATTTCATTTAAAAGTGTTATTTACATGTTATTAAAATGCTTTGAGCTACCAAGTTATTATTATTTTTTTTAATGATGAATTGAAAGGAAAAGTCCTTTTCAAAGAGCTTTTTGGAATTAGCTACCTTGGGAATATTTTATGTTTACATGTTAAAACTTAGCAGTTTTTTCCTAACTTTTGAGCTACAATAGCATACTTTAGAAAATACATTCAATCAAATACCTTAAAATGCCTAAGTATGTTTGGCACTGTAGTCAGATGCTTGCCTTTATGATTCTTTTATGGTAAAGCTTAGGAAGTCTTCATTATGTATTTTACATTTGCATCCTCGGCCCCTTTACTGGCCGGCCTTCATATGGTCTCTTTATTTTGTATCTCTGACAGGACCTTCAGGATAAACTGGCTGATGTCAGTAAAGAGTTAAGTCATTTACGCACTAAATGTGCAGACAGAGAGGCTCTCATAAGCACTTTGAAAGCGGAACTACAAAATGTGCTGCACTGTTGGGAGAAAGAAAAGGCTCGAGCGGCCCAATCGGAGAGTGAACTGCAGAAGCTTTCCCAGGCTTTCCAGAAGGATACTGAGGTATCACCTGAGACGGGATGCCTGGCAGGAAAGGCCTTCACTAATCTCGGTTTTAGAAATTTACATACATCACGTGGCTATTTTTACTTAATTCAAAAAAATTTAATTTAATTCAAAAAAATTGTTCTGAGCCAACCATTTTGAAATAGTCATGCCAGTCGCAAAATCGGTCACTCTTTCACTATCAGGTCATCCTAATTTGGAGAGAAGTGATAGAATTTAACCCCTCGGTCACTCGTGCCGCTTGTATCCCCAGCACTTACGCTCCTGATGGTCCTTTCAAAGTTTGCCTATTTGCCACTGACAAAACTATTTTTTATTTCAGTAGTTTAGCAGCTGAACATGGTGGGAATATGTTTCTCATGATCAGAAAGAACCAGACTTGGCTAGTGGTACTTCTGTTTGCAAAATGTGAATATGGACAAGCCACACAGCTTAGTCTCTCCACATCTTTCCTTATTTGCAAAACAGAAGTAATATCTGCTCTAATAGACAGTCTTCTTACTCTTTACAGTTACAGGGTAGTAACCAAAATGTGGAAAAATAGAAGTCACCCACAATATTAAACCTTTATTTGGATGCCCTCGAGAGTTGCCTATGCATTTTTATTTATTAATAAATTCTTAAAATATTATGGCAAAACTTTTATGTTCTGTGTGAGGCTGGGTGAATGGAATTGTTATCTTATATGTTCTTTCACCCATGGGATATAGAGCTAGTTTAGCTAGTGTGGAGCTGGTTTATCTGAGTCTTCCTGCATATTGAGTTCATTACTCCAACAAATATGGACATGAATGCCAAGAGAGTAAAAAGGAAACATTCTTTCCACTCTTCTTACAGTCTGGGATTTAAATTGTGTCCACATGAAGGGGCTGGAATTGTTCTACACATCAGATAATGATTAAAGTAAAGGAAACTAGAAGCCTGACTGTATTGTAAAGTCAGCATGTCTACAGCATTGTGGTTGGGTTCAACATGTGTGAATTGATTTTGGATCTTGAGATTCTCTTTTCACGCCAAATGGATGATTATCATGCATGGTTTGTCACAGCCCAAGCAAAAAGGACATAATGGCGACACAATGAATTATCCTTTAGGATGAACTTGATCACTTGGCAGAATGTGGAGGGTGAAGACCTTTAGTGCCTGAATATCACATTTGGTTAGTTGGATTTAATAAGGTTTTTAAGTATCTCAACCCAGTTGAAAATGCAAAAGACATCTTTAGCTGCTTAAAAAAGAAAAAGGCATAACATATTTATGAAGATTCTTCTGATATCCTAACTCAAGTTAGTGGCTGTAACTACATATTAAAATTTTTTGGCTTTAAATTGTTATATTGGGAAAAAGTAAGGTGTCATCTAGAGACAATTAAAGATACACATTTTGATATATATAGAAAAACTTTCCCCACAATTTATAAACACAAAACCTTTGCATATGCTAGATATAGTTATTCTTGTCTAGAAGGTTAGCATTTCTATTTTCCCCCCCTCAAATTTCCTTCTTTTAAAAGTTTTCTTTTCTTGCTGGTCTATTAAAAAAATCTTGAGGCAACTTATTATCTACATAAAATATCCTTTTGCAGCTTTATAATTGCCTTGTCTTGAGTTCCACTCTTTGGCAGTTTATAGATGAAACACCTTATAAAGAGAGCCATTTGGCACGTTAGTAAATAAACTTTTTGTGTGTTCAAGATGGGATCGGCTTTTTACTGAATTCTACGGCATAGTGTTTCTAGGTCGTTAAACAATGGATGGTTTAGTTACTACAATGGCAATATAATTTTAAAGAACTTTTTATTGTATATTTCTAATTGGACAGTTTTGGAAATATGTCTTGGGCAGCCATGTCCATTTCTTTTTGCCTGTTACTTTGTAATATTTAAACACCTGTAAATGCTCAATGTGCCAAATACTATATGAACTTACAGGGAAAACAGATGAGCCCCTCTTCCATATCTTTCATATCACTGTCTGCTTTGCCTAAGGGGCTTGGGATAGATTTCCTATAAGAGGTAAGCAAACTGGAATCTCTGGGGGAAGAAGAAAGCTGAGTAATTGTGTACATGTAAAGCACAGATATTGTATAACTTTGTCTTCAGTGGAACTGAGCAACAGTCTTCTCTCTATATTGGTTTTTTGACTTAAATAACATCTGTTTGGGCAGATGTAAATATGAAACTGTAGAATGACTATACCGACATCTAGTTAAAAGGGCTTAGAAACAATTAGTCCAGACATGTCATGTATCTGAGAAAGGTGATGTCTGAACAGGCACTTAGGTGACATCCTCAGTAGTAACAGAACTGGGGTCAGAACCCTGGTCTTTTGGCTTCTAGACTTCAGATTTTTGGTTTTGAATACCAAGTTTAATCAATTCTAAGTTTGTATCTGCTGTGTAGTTTTGAATGTAAAAAAAAGTACCCAAAATGACAGTATTCTGAGACTTGAACATTTTAATTCCTTCTCAAGTTTTTGAAACAAATACTTCCCCGTGCATAGTGTGTGTTTTACTTCTTACAATGTGGATATACTGGAATTATTATTTTTTTTTTTCTCACAGGAGAAGCTAACCTTTCTTCATACCTTGTATCAGCACTTGATAGCAGGCTGTGTGCTCATAAAACAACCAGAAGGCATGCTGGATAAATTCTCGTGGTCCGAGCTCTGTGCAGTCTTGCAGGAGAATGTTGATGCCCTGATCTCAGACCTCACCAGGGCTAATGAGAAGGTAACTGTCCTCAGGCACCAGATACCTCTATTAAATTCAGTGACATTTGTCCACATCACAGTATCATTAAGAGGGGCTGACATTCATCTTATTTCAAAAAGAATTTGGGTGTTAATAATTCAATACCATTAATTATGGCTTGTCTACAACTCAGTTTGATGCCATTGCTGTGGGCATGTAAATGTGACTGAAGTCTGTATGAAGTCTCTAAGCTCCACACTCTGTGCAGGACATGCTAATACTACTAGCCAGTATTAGCCACAGGGACCTAATTAAAAGAAAATAAATTAATCTTACTGATGAAGCAATTCAAAGAACTTAGTCATTTACATTAATAAACCAACTCTTTATGTTAGCATAAAATAGAAACAAGATACAGCTATTCAAAAACATGATCTTAAAATTTTTGCTCAGGAAATAATGAGGTGTTACTTTAAAAGCACTTAAAAATTTAAAATTATGTTTATGATATTTCTTGAATTATAATAAGATGTGTATTACAAAACCCTTTCCGTGCTGTAGCATGTGAGAGGTATACACGGTAGGAGAAAACAGTAGACTCTTAGGATCACTTTACCATTCATGAGCCCAGAAATTCAGTCTTTCAAAAAATTTTTTAAAAAGCCCTATTTTGGTGATGGAAAATTAAGATGGCTTAGCAGACCAACATATTTCACCATTGAAGATCTCAGTTCGTATCCTGGGTCTATTGAACTGGTCAGAACTATGTTATGTGGTCCGGTTTCCAGATCTTAGTTGAAATGGCACTTGCTCTTATGGGACGTGAAGAGAAAAATGTACCTAAGTTGCTGTTGTTGTGGTGGTTGTTGTTGTTGTTTTTAACTCTAATCTGTTGAATTAATGAAACAGCATCTTGGCCTAATTTTAGACTGAGGGCATTTTGCCTTGGTTCGATTGGCAAATACAACCACGGGCACTGAGAAGTAGGATTGAGGAAATGAGGGAATACATTGTGAGAAGCCCAGATGCTGTTCATGATTGTGAATGTGTGTATAATGGGTTTGAAAATTACTGGCAATTAAAATGAGTACATGTTTGAACCCTCTGAGATGGTATTATGTTTTAACAGTTTGTCATAGTTTCGAACATCATTAATTGTCGTACATCTCAGATGATTTTCTTTCCAGCGTTTGGAACGTGAAATAAAAAAATGGTTGTACTGTTCTGTTTTATTATATGTAAAATGTTTGTAGATTTGTAAATCTCATTGAAATGCTGTTTCCCATTGAAGAGCTTTGGTTCTAGAAATAAGAATAGTCTTCTTAATTTTCTCAGTAAAGTTGATTCTAGAGTGAGTAACTTTATTAGAAAGAGAAAAATGGTTTGTCATCTCAGCGTATGTGCATATAAATGACACCATATTCTTCTAAAATATGATTATTTGCCCTACCGATTTCTGTTTCTTAATTTTTGGGTTTTCATTTTAACTTACACTTTTTATGTGAGCTTAAGGAATGAATCATAGGTGAAAATTTTGGGTGGTTTTGGGGGAGATGTACAAAGAATGTTTTGTGAGCCTATCTCATTCTCTGTTGCATTTCCCTGTTTAGATAAGTCATCTGGAGTATATCTGTAAAAACAAGTCTGACACAATGAGGGAGCTTCAGCACACACAGGAAGACACTTTTAACAAAGTGGCAGAGCAGATCAAAGCCCAGGAGAGCTGCTGGCAGAAACAAAAGAAGGAACTGGAGTTGCAGTACTCCGAGCTCCTCTCTGAGGTGCAGAAGAGGGCACAGGTATGCTTCTCCTGCAGAGCTTTAAAAAACGGGCTGATCAAATATTTTACTATTTCAGGTGTTTTCTTTTAGTACCAATGCCAAATCCGTTTGGAACTTTTGAGAATGCCTAGAACTTATTCTGCACACATACATGTGATCATGCAAACACATACACATACTCACAAATGCATGTGTGTGTGCGTGTATATGTGTGTCTGCATGTGTATTAAGGATTGTCTTATAGTTAAGTTGGGAAGTAGGTTTCTGGTTAAAGCACCTTAGAATGCACTGATCAAGTAAATGATAACATTGCATTTCCTTTATTTATTTTTAAAATGAAAGGTTAAGAGATTTGGTCAAATGTCAGTTTTAGTCTAGATAATCCTTTTGTCCGGTTTATTACACTTGTGGGGGTTCCTATATGAACCATCATTTTATTCATTTGGGGTTGAAATTTGTTATACTTCCTAATATTATATAAGAACTAGAGTTATAATTGTAGACCCTGTAGCAAAATCATTCACTGTTGGATGAATTATTATTTTTTTTTATGTTGGATTCGACTGAGAACAGAAGTTTTGGGTAGTTAACATAGCTGTATTTTTCCCTATATAAATTATTCTCATCATAATTTATATTGTTAACTGTCATCCTTGCCCAATCAGGAATAACATACAAAGATAGTGTATACTTTTTTTGGGGGGGGGTATTGACTTTGATAATAGTTCATGTGTTCCTAAGATAAGATGCTTAGGACTCTGATTCAGTGTTTAACCTCTTTATTTGGTCCATAATTATATTGTTTCATACTTCTATTGGCAAGTTTAATTAAAAAATGTTATTTTTGTTTGTTAATAGTTTCAGGTTGCTTAAAATAAGCAACATGTGAACTTATGCCTTCTTCTATGAATTTGAATGAATTAATACACTCTCTAAAAGTAGCTATTTGTTGTGTTCAGTGTTGCAGGGTGACATGTGATATGATCTGCATTTCGAGGTGCCTGGGTAGCTCAGTCGGTTAAGCCTCCGACTCTTGATTTTGGCTCAGGTCATGATCTCAAGGTTGTGAGATGGAGCCCCACCTCCGGCTCCCTGCTGACAGGTGGAACCCAGTTGGGACTCTGTCTTTCCCCCTCTCTCTGCCCCTCCCTGGTCTCTCTCTCTCTCTCTCTCTAAATAAACTTAAAAAAAAAAAACAACTTAAAATATTTCATTATTCCAGAAAGTTCTTTTATGCCCTCTTTCAGTTTCCACTCCATGGGCTACCATTGTTCCAATCCTATCATCATAGATTACTTTCACTTGCCCTTGAGTTTCCTCTCAATGGAATCATTCAATATGTAGTGTTTGGTGGTTGGCTTATTTCACTCAAAATAGTGTTTTGATAGTCATCCATGTCGTTGTGTATTCACAACATGTTGGTAATTCATTCTTTTTTATGGTGAGATAGTATTCTATTTTATAATTACACCACAATTTGATAGATTGTGAGTGGATGGATATTTGGGTTGTTTCCAGTTTTGGGCTGTCGTAAATAAAATTGCAGCAAGTATTATTGTATGAGTATTTTGTTGACGTAAGTTTTCCTTTCTCTTTAAGAAATGAAAGTTAAGAGTGAATTCGCTAGGTCATGGTGTAGGTGTATGTTTATAAAAAAAACTATCAACATTTTTTCCATTTTTCCAAAATGGCTGTATCATATTATATTTTCATGACCAATATATGAGAATTTCCATTGTTCTACATCCTCTGCAATATTTGGTATTGTCAGTCTTTTAAATTTTAGTCACTCTAGTTGTTTTAAAAAGGTATTTCACTGTGGTTTTAATTAATGTTTTCTTGGTGATTAATGATATTCAGCACTTTTCATGTTCTTATTGGTCATTCCTATATCTTCTTTTGTGAAGTGTCTCTTCAAGTGTTTGCCCATTAAAAAATTGGGATTCTTTGTGTTTTTATTATTGATTTGTGAGAGTTCTTTAGATATTCTGGATATAAATCCCTTGTTGTACATATGTATCACAGATATTACCTTCCAGTATCTCACTTGTCTTTTCATGTTTTAATGTTTCTTTTGATGATCCCAAGTTTTAAGATTTTGATGAAATGCAACCTACAAATGTTTTTCTCTTTTGAGTATTTATTTTTATGTGGCAAGCAATGTTTCTATACCCCCAAGGTTGTTAAGATAATCTCCTAGTGTTTCTTCTGGAAGTTTTAAAGTTTTAGCATTTATGATTAGGTCTGTGATCCATCTCAAATTAATCTTTGTATGTAATATTAGGTAGAGGCTGAGGTTCATTTCTGCCCTGTATTTATTGTTCCCACACCATTGTTCACGACTTTGCTTTCCTCATTGACAAGCCTTGATCCCTTTGTGAAAAAAAGCCTGACCATATATAAGAACCACAGATTTGTTGTGTATCCCTATGGTTTTGCCTCTTCCAGAATGTCATGTAAGTGGTCCGTACAGTCTTGCCTTTTCCAGAATGTCATATAAGTGGAATCCTACAGTATGTAGCCTTTTTGGGTCTGACTTTTGTTTCACTTAGCAAAATATGTTTGGGAATTATTCATGTTGTTGCATGTATCAGTAGCAGTTCATTCCTTTTTACTACTGAGCTATATTCCATTGGATGGATACCATTGTTTGTTTATACTTGCTGATGGGCCTTCGGGTCATTGTTTTTGTTTTCTAGCAATTATGACCAAGGAAGTTTTAAATATGCATGGATAGGTTCTTGTGTGATCATAAATTTTCATTTCTCTTGGGTAAATACTTAGAGGAGTGTGGTTTCTGGTTATATGGTAAGTACCTATTTATATGTTATATAAATGGTTCTATGGTGAGAAACTATGAAATTGTTTTCCCAAGTGGCTGTACCATTCTGAGCTCCCTCTAGCAATGTAAGGGAGTTCTAACTGCTCTGTATCCGTGCCAGCATGCTGTTTCATAATTTTTTTTGTCTTTTCTAGATATCCTAGTAGGCGTGTAGTGATTGTGGTTTTAATTTCTGTTTTCCCTAGTGAATACTAATGTTGAGCATTTTTTTCATATGCTTATTTGCCATCTGTGTGAATTATCTGTTCGCATGTTTTGCCCACTTTTTTAAAAAGTTTATTTATTTTGAGAGAGCGAGAAAGAGAGATAGTGCGAGTGGAGGAGAGGCAGAGAGAGAGGGAGAGAGAGAATCCCAAGCAGACTCTGAGCTGTGAGCACAAAGCCTGATGCAGGGCTTGATCCCACGAACCTGTCCAATCAAGAGTTGAACACTTAAGTGACTGAGCCACCCAGGCACCCCTGTGCCCCCTTTTTAACTGGGTTGCTTAGTTCCTTGTCACTGAATTTTGAGAGTTGTTTATGTATTCTGGATAGAAACCTTTTGTCAGATAAGTGATTTGCAAAAATTTTCTCCCATTCACATAAAAGTCCTTTTTGCAGAGCAGATGTTTAAAATTTTTATAAAGTCCACCTTATCAATGTTTTTCTTTTATGGATTATGACTTTAGTGTTGTATCTAAGAACTCTTGGCTTAGTGTAAGGTCATCAAGATTTCCTCCTGTTTTTTCTTCTATAGGTTTTGTAGTTTTAGGTTTTAGAAATAGGTCTATGATTCATTTTCAGTGAATTTTTATAAAGATGTGAGGTATGGGTTGATGTCCATTTTTTTCATGTGGATATTCAGTTAATCCAGGACTATTTGTTGAAAGATTATCCTTTCTCTATTGAATTGCCTTTGTACTCTGTCAAAATCCATTTCCTGTATTTGTGTAAATCTATTTCTGTACTTTCTCAACTGTTCCATTTATTTATGTGTGTGTTCATTTTTAATACTATACTGAGTTGATTTTTGTAGCTTTTTAGTAAGTCTTGAAATTAGGAAGTATGATTCTTCAAACTTTCATCATTTCCTATCAGTTTTTTTAATTGGATAAATTTAACATGTAACCTTGTATAAATTTAAGTGTATATTGTGTTACTTTGATACATTTATATATGTAATATAGTTGCCATTGTAATGATATTTATCACATTACATACTTGCAGTACATTATTATTATTATTGTTCGACAAACTGTACATTTAATCTCTATGGCTATTTTAGTACTCATTACAAGTTTATACACTTAAACAGCATCCATTTAACACCCCTACTCTCTACTCTTCCATTTCCTGGTAACCACCATTTTATTTTCTGTTTTTTTTTTAATTTTTTTTTTTAGCATGTTTGGTCTTTTAAGATTCCATGTATAAGTGATACCCTATAGTACTTCTCTTTGTCTGGCTTATCCCATTTAGCATAATGTTTTCAAGGTCCATCTGTGATTTTGCAAATGATAGGATAGCCTCCTTTCTCATGGCTAAGTAATATTTTATTGTGCATATATATCACATCTTTTTTAATCCACTCATCCATTAATGGGCATTTGGTTGCTTCCCTATCGCGGCTATTGTCAATAGTGTTGCAATAAACATGGAGGTGTGTGTATCTCATCGAATTCCTGTTTTCATTTCCTTTGAGTATATTCCCAGAAATGGAGTTGCTGGAATGTATGGTAGGTATGTTTTCAAGTTTTTGAGTGACCTCCATATTGTTTTCCATAGTGGTTGGACTAATTTACATTCCCATGTTCTCGCCAGCACCTGCTGTCTCTTGTCTTCTTGATGATAGCCATTCCAGCGGGTATGAGGTGATATCTCAGTGCGGTTTTCATTTGCATTTCCCTGATGATTAGTGATGTTGAGCATCTGCTCATGTGCTTTTTAACTATTTTGATGTCCTCTTTGGAAAAATGTCTCTTTAGTTCTTCTGCCCATTTAAAAAACGAGAGTGTTTATTCATTATTAAGTTGTGTTAGTTCTCTGTATATTTTTGGATATTAACCCCGTATCTGATATGTGATTTACAAAAAATATTTCCCATGTTGAAGGCTGCCTTTTTATTTTGTTAGTTTCTTTTGCTGTGCAGAAGCTTTTGAGTTTGATGTAGTCCTGTTTGTTGATTTTTGCTTTTGTT